TGAAAGTAGACTTTAAAGAAATTCATGGGTCATGAAAGTAGGCTTTTAAAGAAATTAATGAGTCATGGAATTCATTCTGGTGACTTTCAGGGGAAATTCATGGGTCATGAAAGTAGACTAAAAAGAAATTCATGGGTCATGAAAGTAGAGTAAAAGAAATTAATGGGTCATGAAAGTAGACCTAAAGAAATTCATTGGTCATGAAAGTAGAGTAAAAGAAATTCATGGGTCATGAAAGTAGGCTTTTAAAGAAATTAATGAGTCATGGAATTCATTCTGGTGACTTTCAGGGGAAATTCAAGGGTCATGAAAGTAGACTTAAAGAAATTCATGGGTCATGAAAGTTGGCTTTTAAAGAAATTCATGGGTCATGGAATTCATTGTGGTGACGTTCAGGAGGAATTCATGGGTCATGAAAGTAGACTTAAAAGAAATTTGTGGATGTGAAAAAAAATTCCCTAGGTAATTCATGGAAAATTCAGGGCTTGAAATAACCCCATGAATTTTCATTTTGCAGTATTCATGGGTCTTTCACTAGAAATTCATGGAATTTTCATAAAACTACAGTTCATAGTGCTAGGAGAGTATCAATAATTAACAGTATTGCTCATATGCAGTGCAGCATCACCTGTGGGTCAAGTACGCCCACCCCTTTGAATTATATACAGATATATGTACCTAAACCATTTCCAAATCTGATTGTAAATTGGCTGTTAAGGGAATATGGGAGGCTAACCCAACCTTTTAGCAATTATTTTATTTTCTCACATGTTAAAGATTATTGTTTATTAAGTAGCCTATCTGTAAAATTTGACGACTGGAAAACATGCTGATTTTGAAATACATGCATGGGATATAAATTTTGTTTTAAATTAGTCCTGGGGCTTTTCACAAAATAATAATCAGTGCAACTACCATTACATCATGTCATGGCACTGCAACAGCGTTATCTCAGGGAAGATAATTCTTTTGATTTGAAACCTGGCAAACCCAAACTGCATAGGATGAGTAAAATTTATGGTTCAGTCTGCCATAGTCCAATAAATTGACTGAATTTGTTGGATTCAGATAATTTTTTCTCCAAAATGGCCTTTTGGACACAACCCTTAATTCCGTGAAATTCCACAAATTTTCCACCAAGCAAAATATTTTTTTTCCAGAATATACGTCAAAGAATCATATATCATATGTGAACATTTGAAGTTATTACAACACCTCTGTCATGAGATTTTTCATTCTCAAAATTGGCAAACATTCACCAAACCAGCCTCCAGTACCATCTTAAACACTCTGAATCAAGCAGTTAGACAAAAGTGCGCATTATTGGACATTCTGTTAAAAGTTTTCTAAAATATGATTAATTGTAGATTATGTTGAGAGTATGTTAAGTTTAAACCATATTGATATGTTTGTTTATGCTTAATCGTAAGATTAGTCAGGCATCCCTAGCTAGGTTAGCCACGGAGGCTGGGAACGAAAGAAAAAACATTATGGGATAAGAGAAAAAAGCACATGGAGAGAGAGAGTTGGAAAACTGAGAGAAGTCGGAATAAAATTGTTCAGTTTATTCAATTGAAAGCGAGTCGTGAGTATCTTGTCAGAAGAAACATTTCTGACAATTAGCCTGGTTCTGCATCCAGAGAGAAAGATTTCAGTGATGCTCTTCTTATATTTACAGAGACTCTAAACTGCAACAACAGCAGAGTGGCTCAGGATCTGAGGACAGGGAGTCTGGTATAGGACAGTCCTTGCCAAGTTCACCCATAGCAGGGGAACGTCCCAAGGAAACAATGTAATTATTACTCAAAACTCAGTCATTTATGGCAGTTCAATTTCATTCTTACAAATGAATAAAGGCTGATAGTTTCGAAAGAAACTGTTTGGGGCTGCGTTGGTGGGAGTAACGAAATAGTTTGGATATATCAACAAAGTTGAAGTGGTAAATTGGCCACCGTAATGACTACAAAAGCTGACGTTTCGACCGTTAGCCCTTCGTCAGCTTTTGTAATCGTTACGGTGGCCAATTTACCACTTCAACTTTGTTGACAAACCCAATTTCATTCTTGTTTATGTTCTATGTCCTAACCCTTTGCTCCAAATATGTAGATGCATAATTATCTCCTCTTGGTGTGATTTTTTTTCTTGTGAATTGATTAGATATAGATGAGATTTAGATAGAGAGACTTAGATGAGAGAGAGACTTAAATCTATTTATATTAAATCTATTTAATCTATCTAAGAGACTTAGATGAGAGAATTTGGTGTTGAAGCTACATTCTTTCAGTGATCGAGGCACTTATCTTTGATCTAGACTCACTTGATAACATGAATTTTATTACTTTTTCCCTTAAACTATGAAATTTTCATTGATAGAGAGGAATATCATGACATTGCCTTGTCTGTGTGTGGAGAGTTAAGAAATGGGAAAGTATCACTAGGTAAGTTGATAATAAAAAATGAAAATGAGTACTAGCACAGGCGGCCCAAGATCTCTTTGAGAATCACACAAAACACATGTCTAAAACATTATGCCCTTAGGAAAAACAATATGCGCCAAAAACATTTACCAGATGAGGGTAATTTTTACCCGAATTGACCAATCAGAGTACTTTGTTTCTTTCAGTTTACCACCAGGTAAAGTTTACCCTAGTGGGGTAAACTTACCATTAGCAATTCACTCGTTAGAGCCCTTCTATGGGCTGTACCCACGCAAAATAATTACATTCTTTCAATTGTGCCTTCTTAGAATCGAATTTCGCGATTTGGAGTTGAAAAAGGTGCAAACCAATCAGCTTATATCTAGGATGGCGCGCTTTTGGATTTGTTAAGATTCGAAAATTGACACGGCTATGTTTGCAAAGTCATGTTTGTTTTACCTTATGATAAAATATTGTTGACATGAAGGTGTTTTATCAACAGGTTTTAGGTGACAAGGGGCGCTTTCCATTCAACAAAAATCACAGGTTCAAAATGTTGGTATTTTCGCTGGCCAAATGGAACGCGTCGGACCGTATCCAAGAGGGTACACTCAAAACGTAGTCCTAAATTTTCGAAAACTTATCCCGGAACTTTTCCCATTCCATTCGATTTATGACCGGAAATCTCAAAAATTTTGGTGAAATGGAAAGTGCCCACCGTGACACATGTAATCTTTAACCATCTTGGTGACACATGTAATTTTTAACCATCTTGGTGACACATGTAATCTTTAACCATCTTGGTGCCATGTCACGCTCTGAAACCTGCTGAGATGTTTGTTGATTCCACGAAAGAGGAATCAACAAACATCTCAAGATTGTCACTGTAACCTAAACCATTTTTAAGTTCTGGAATTATTCTAGTTATAAAATGTCATATTGGAGAACGAGGTGGCGAGCGTGTACGGCACTTTCTAATTGCCACTGTTTTTTACTACCTTTTGATGACTGCTCGGACAGTAGTCGAAATAATAGAATAACTGGTAGTTTCAATATCAAAGTGGGTGCCGGCGTCAGAGCTTGAAAGAAATACTGATAAAACAACTTGAAATTAATGGTATGATATGGGTTGTTGGTGTGGCTTTTTAAAAGAGAATTACGATTTTTCCAACTTGTTCAGTTTTAAAGGGCTTTTGTGAAACAACAACAGAGCTCCCCCCCTTTTTTTTGAGTTAAGAAAAGAACGTTTACTCCAAATGGCACCATTTTTGACTAACACTTCACTGCTGCTGAATGCACTGAGAAAAAAATATTTCCATGAAGTAGTGCTTGATCGATATCTTGGCAACTCCACTTGCAAATCGGCAAAAATCGTTCACATAATAGAGCAGCCAAACACATAAAAATCTCTTGTCCTCTAAGAGTCATCACTAAACCATTCAAGACCTTGATGAATACTTCCACAAGCAATTAAACACATCTATTTTAAAAACTCATCCCGTCTATCTTGCCCTTGATTTTGAGCAGAGCGGGACGGCTGTCTAACGATATTTCCATGTGCATTTTATGTGATGTCATCACAAACATCCCGGATATAAAACATGCAATCGACTGCGCAAGTCTCCAATCTAACATCCTGATGAAAACAATATACCTTCATGGGTGTCTTTCCCGAAAGAAATTGTCAACGCACTGTTTGAAGTGTAACTAACGTAAACTATATTTATTGATGGAAAGGTTACGCAATGCGCTATCCAAAAAAATTGTGTTGTTAAGGTTGATCTAATCGTATCCGACTGATGCATGCCTATTGGGTGCAGACAAGTTGTTGTGGAGTTGTTCCAATTAAAAACTTGAAAAACAGACCGCCGATGGGAACGCAAAAGCGTCACAGCTTCTCTACTTGCTTGTGAAAAAGCTTAACCTCGACTTGCTCAACTTTTTAATGTTATAAGTGGTTATACATGGTTACACATACCAATGAAAAACCAGTTTCTATTAGTACATGTCAACTTGAGTGATGTGGTAACAGTATAATGGAACATAGGTGACCACAATTTGAAAAGGAAATTAGCAAATTCCTCTCAGCGTGAGATGAAGCTTGTGTGCAGCATTCTTAATAGGAAAACGGTCAGTGTAAAACTGGGACAGCTACGTTCTGAAATTACGCTCCCTTCTGTGAAATTATTCGGAAAAGATTAAATTTTCTTAATTCTTCCTGTTGCCTTCCGCATTGCACAAAATTTGTAGTGGAATCTCTGAGGAATGGTGGCTGGTCTGTGTAGCTGTAAATTTGGACAACTTATTTATTACAACATTTTTCCGTCAATAGTAGATATTGCGCTTTGTTAGTGGGTGCCAGCCTCAGAGCTTGAAGGAAATACTGATAAAACGACTTGAAATTAACGGTATAATATGGGTTGGTGTGGCTTTTTAAAAGAGAATTATGATTTTTCCAACTTGTTCAGTTTTAAAGGGCTTTTGTGAATCAACAACAGAGCCCCCAAAATTTTTTTTGTTGAGTTAAGAAAAGAACGTTTACTCCAAATGGCACCATTTTTGACTAACACTTCACTGCTGCTGAATGCACTGAGAAAAAAATATTTCCATGAAGTAGTGCTTGATTGATATCTTGCAACTCCACTTGCGAATCGGCAAAAATTGTTTGCATAATAGAGCAGCCAAACACATAAAAATCTCTTGTCCTTTAAGAGTCATAACTTTAACGGGGATGTTTTCATTGCTGCGTGACGAGACAGCAAGATGTTTACAGATTACATGTGTCACGTTTTCTGCGAGCGAAACGCTGTTCACCTTACATTACAGTTCAAATTGTTCTATCGATTTCGTAAAGAAAAGGAATTTTGGAAAGAACATTTTTGTGTAAGCTCGATGAACCATCGTGATCTTCCAAGTTACGCTGCTAAAGTCGCCGGATAGAACGCTTTAATTAGATTACACGCGTGATACTTTGATACATGAGCGTACATTACTTAGCTCTCGAATTCGCAAGAAACACTCTTTGGAAAATCTGGAAATGAAGATTTTCAGAAAGTAGTTTCCACATAGTTAATAGAGGGGACTATGGTTTCCATCACGAATACATCAAAGAGTTTTGCGACTACATCAGAAGTAAAATGTGACAGCACTCTCTGCAATATTCGAGTAGTTTCTCAGGAAGGAAGAAATGGCTAAACGCACATGGTTTCTTTGGTGCATGACGTGGCACCAAGATGTTTACAGATTACATGTGTCCATAGCTAGTATGTGTCACATTTTTTGCGAGGGAAATGCTGTGCATCTTACATTATGATTCAAAATGTTGACTGTTTTATCGATTTTCTATAAGAATTGAAAGAAAGGAGGACAATGTCATGGCGTCCTGATGATCGAATGCGAGCGTGTAAGTTCGATGCTAACTAGGTCGCTAACATCAAGAAGACACGCACTAGGATTGCTGCAGGATTACATTACATGCCTGATTTGCTATTTTATAAACTTGTCACCTAAAACCTGTCAATAAAACACCTTCATGTCAACAATATTTTATCATAAAGGTAAAACAAACATGACTTTGCAGACATAGCTGTGTCGATTTTTTAATTCCGGCAAATCCAAAAGCGCGTCATCCTAGATATAAGCTGATCGGTTTTACACCTTTTTCAACTCCAAATCGCGAAATTCAATTCTAAGAGGGCACAATTAAAAGAACGTAATTATTTTGCATCGATACAGCCCATAGAAGGGCTCTAAC